CTTAATTGATTTAATTCATTAGAGCCTATAGAATTTCTATTGCCTTAAGGATTAAATTTTCATAAATGGCGCGGTTACATCTAGCGCCTCGGAATATTTTGAGTGATCATTTCGATGACTCGAAGGTTGCATTTTTGCAACTGTATTAATGTATCTGTAATTTATATAATTATGCGTATATTATACATACTTCTGATAATACGAATTGGCTTAGCAAGACAAAATTGTGTAAAGATATCGGAAAGAAGGCAAAATTAGATGTTTACCGTCCGTGGGACGATCAGCGTTGATCTTGATAGCAAGGATATATTTTCTTTGATGAATATAAAGCAGTCTTATATCCTTGATTTAAAAATTAATGAAGGCATATTATAAATATTATAACGATAAAGTCGATTGATTATTAATATAGTTCGACCATGTGTTTATTGTTCGTTTAAGCCTTTATGAATTGAATTTGCGTTGCAAAAATTGCGAAGTTTTATGGTTACGATAAAGTCTTTTCAAATTACAATATTACTTATATTTTTGTATCCATCATTGTAATTTAAATCGATTTTCAACAGCGTATAGATAGGTAATAATGATTTATTTCTAATTAATTATAGAATCAACGATAATTTAATAGCAGTTGGAATCACGTTTTGATTATTAAAGTAATGTATGTAAAAAAATTTTAACGGGATAAATAAGAGGGTAAAATAATGCAAGTGTATAAATTACTTTGATAATAACGAATCCTCTAACGCAAGAGATAATTCTTATGGTAATTATCAACAATTAATCTTTTTTTTTAACAATGTTAAACTGCAATGACGTTTCTGCTTCCGTGTATTGTATCATAAAACATAGTCGAGCGTGATCAATCAATCTACAAGTAAGATCGTGTTGATGATATCTCTGATTTTCTACATTCGTTCGCGTTGCATCAGATGCGTTAGATTATTCATACATTCACGATTGAAAAGAATTAGCAATATAAAAAAATCATTGCTCATTACCCTGAAAACTATTTCAAGCACCAAAGCCATAAATGCTAATCGCAGCTTTGTTTGTCAGCCTCGTTAGACGTCAAATAAATAAATAGACCGTTCAATGCCGTAGCATCCTCCACAGATGACATCCCATATAAACATCAGATATTGCTTTTTTTCTTATCGCTTCTTCCAACTATATTCTGTTTAATGACTAATGGCCTTGTTATACTTTCATAGGTATCATTACCGTTCCCGTAATTGATTATACAATTTTACGACAATGCTTCGTTCACGGTAATTGGCACGTCCTCGATCGATTTAATCAGGATTTTTCTTTCGGCCCAATTTAATTCGCTTCATCGACCGTCAGGAAGCAATCGAAATCGTGGATTCGAAAATGTACCGCGAAGGTCAATTGAAATCGAAGTAAATAACCGTTATCTTTAACATAATCGTTTGTTATATTTTAAAAATAATCCTTTTGCCCTCTCTTTTTTTCTAAAATATTTTTAATTATATACTGAAAGAAAAGATTAGCTGCTGCAGCAAATTAGATGGTAAAATATGGCATAGCATTTTTAATTGGCTGCAGCAGCCAATTTTTTATTGCTATAGCTATAGTCAATCGAAATCTTATACTGACATTTCGAACAAACTAACACAATCAAAAATTGGCTGCAGCAACCAAAAATTGGCTGTTGCAGCCAATTAAAAGTGTTATGCCATATTTTACCATCTAATTTGTTGCAGCAATCATGTCTTTTCTTCCAGTGTACACGCTGAAAAAAATAATGTTATATCAACAGCATTATTTTCAGTGTATATAAGACATTGTAAGCTGTAAGATTATCTTTCTGCAGTTCATACGTCCGCTGTAACATTAATTACAAATGCTAATAAAACCCATTATTGTTTGAATAATGGGGCAATTTTGCCATCCGTTTCCACAGAATTATAAAATATTATCATAAGCAATACAGCTTAAAATAATAGTTCGTTAATTGCAATCAACGTTCGCAAAGATGAGACTTGCGAGTCAGAGTGTCGATGTACATATGTAATAATTCTTTTTTTATTATAGCAATTAAGGAATTGTTCATACCAGCTTCAATAAAAAGATTATCGCGCATCTATACATCGAATTTTTGTTTTGCATTATATCTTTATAAATCTCAAATAGACAAATGTAAGAGAGCTGTGTGTATAAGCCACAAATAAATTTGAACTCATGAGCAAATTAAGGTGCGATGGATCAGTGCCGTAAATCTTCCCCCATGAAGTATCACACATGAAAGAAAAGATTGACTGCTGCAGCAAATTAGATGATAAAATATATGGCATAGTATTTTTAATTGGCTATAGCAGACAATTTTTGGTCGCAGCAGCCAATTTTTGCTTGCGTTAGCCTATCCGCAATGTCAGTACAGTATTTTGACAGGCTAACGCAACCAAAAATTGGCTATTGCAATCAATTAAAAATGCCATATTCAGCCAATCCTTTCTTTCAGTGCGGAGATGTCACAATCGCGTTTGCAGAAAGAAGGGAAGGCGATGAGAAAGAGGAAATTTCTGCCAAGAAGCGCATGACGACACGCTTAAGCGCGAAATATCTCTCAGATAAGTGGCCTCGTTAATTAAACCGAATTTAGGAGACTGAGGTCATTGCGCAGTCACAGTCGCAAGGTCCGAACCTTTCCTCAGCTCGCAACTGTTGACCGAACACTAGCCGGATATCGGAAGACATTCTGCTCCGTTTCTCCTTGCGCGTGATACTGCGGCTAATTGGAGACACGTTAATTAACGGGTTAAGGTGAAGAATTCCATTTTTAACGAAGGTCAAGAAACCGCGGCGGCCGGTCACGCGACAGGAGCCACGTTGATGCTGCATGGCAGGCGCTTTCTCAACGCGAGGCACGGATTGCACGAACAGGGAGAATTGCTTGAAACGATTGCCGCAGCGCGACTATGATAAATGGGTCAGATATAGTTTGCATTTGTAACGGCAGTAATTAAATCGCAGTTCCATTTTGACGTTGATTGCCCGGTAAAGTAAATCGTAAGCTGTCTTGCGTATGGTATACGTCGTTTCGTTTGAATCTATAATTATCATAAGTACAATCGCGCTCTTTTTTAAATGATCTCAAGAAATAAAAGTATCTTTTAAAAAATATATAGTATAGAATTTCAAATAGGATCTCCTGATACTTGTATTTGATAGTAAAATAATGGAATTATACTCGGAATTATACATTCCTCGCATTATTGTTATCGCTATTGTTATCAAAAGTATGTCAATATAAAAATGCTATTTTTTTCAAGGCAAGACATTTGCGGAGTTACGTAAAAAGATAAGATTAATTTTTCCTTTCTAATAATACGTTTGCGGATGCGCAGTCTATTACCGCAATTATTATACGCGCGGATGTCATACAGGAAATTTTTTTTACATCGGAAGTTACGAGGTATCTTAAGGGAATAGTATATTGCTATATCTTCGTAAACCGTCAATTATACTGGAATTAAAAACGATATTACAATAATGATTATGTGATCAATTGATATTGTAAACGCTAACAAGCAATTATACAAGCGCGACTGTCACTCTCTATTTCTTAGATACGGTGAATAACTTAAGCTCAACAACCGTATCAAGCGTATAATTCAGTGGCTGCAAATTAATGATTGAATACATGACTAAAAGAATATCATGCTTTGATAGAAAAAAGAATATCATATTTTGATAACGATTTTAGAATTTAAAGACGCGCCTGTAATCGATTGCTTTAAAGAGAGGGCGTTCTATAGTTCGAGATAAGAATTTGCATACCGAGACAACGTTCTGCAACACCGGTTGACGTCATAATACCGCACTCACGGAATAGAGATCCGGATTCCGATCGAGAGCATGATGCGATAGGCATTGAGACGTAACGTCTGGAACATGCATTAAGTACTTGCATGCATTATTTTGCCATAGAAGATTACGCCGGATAATTTGCCGTCTCTATGATTGAGCGGCGAGAGAAAAGTTCTTTGTTGCAAAAAAATAGTATTGTGACTCAGCCGAGATAAATCATAATTTGCATTCTTATTTTCTCCTTCGTTCTTATTCCACAATTATATCATTGAGCGAGTCTCTTCCTTCCTCTTTCTTTTTTCTTTTTTTTCTTCTTTTGCGCGCATGCTGTCTCATGGGTGCTCCAATTCTTCTATCCAAAGTTTTTAAACAATTCAATTATCTAAAGATCCGATTTGCTTTAAGATTAAAAATATTTAAAAGTCTTAAAGCGTCTCTTTTTTTAGAATCAAATATCTAAAAATAAAATTTCTATCTATGTATAAAATGAAAGATGGATTAAAATGACACAACGTAAATTGACATAAAATGTTTAATAAAGAAAAAGTACATTTTTGAAACGTCTAAAATTTTTTCAAGTCTTTTAATATTTCGAACTTTTGAAATATATATTCAAAAGTTCCAAGACTTTCAAAAATTGTTTCCTTTTGAATAATATTTAAAATCTACTAATTTGAAATTTTTGTTACGTACTCCAAATATGATCAGCATTACAAATATAATCTAAATTTCATAATAAAATTACTATACTTTTTAATTATGTTACGTATTTCTCAACATTAACATTGTTGGGTTACATAAGTAGTCATTCTTAGTTACTTAATTTCAAGACATAATTCGTACATCTGTGTATAGGAATACTTTCGTTGCTTTTCAAAGACATCCTTCCTGCTTCCTCGTCATGACTAGATGAAAAATATCAAATGTCAAGTCGTTCGTCTGGCGATCCGTAAAGAGCTACGTTTCCCTTTCTCGCGAAGCTGCTCTCGAACAACTTCCTATTCGCGGTTTAGCGAAGATCACCTTGACCATCGCTCGCGCCCCTTGGGAGGGTAATGATTCGGGCGGGGGCGCACGAGGGGGGCACAGGGAATCAGACGCGGATGGCCTCCAACGTCGACATATATAAGTCCCAGGATCGGCCCCCACCGGGAGTCAAACGGTCCTCTACTGCCAAGACGGGCAGCAGCTGTGAGAGTCTCCAACACCTAGGATTCATCGTCACCACGGGAAACCAACTCTGCTACCTACTCTAGACATTCGCACGGTAGTAGGCGTTTCTTCCGGAGCCCCCTACCATCCGCGAGTCCGCGACTCCGAGAACGTACCCCCGCGTGGCAGGTGGTACACCACCGTTGCGCGGTACTCCTAGACTCGCCGCTTAACGAGAGTGCAACTGCAGTTGGCGGCCGACCTGTGTACGGCTCACGGGGAAACGCGGAGAACGCGCTCGTTCCGACTCGCCGCAGTTTCGGGGGAGATCCAGAGAAAGAGAGATGAGGATCGTAAGTACGATGTGCCTGTGATACTGTACGCTCCGCGACAAGCAAACATCGCGCGCGAATCAGCAGCGAAAAGAGATCCGAAGAGATCCAAAGGTCCCGATTATTTCCGCAAAGCGATACGCGCGGAATCGCGAAGTGTCGAGAGTGTTCGTTCTAGATCAGTGAGATCGTGCCGTTAGATCTTGTGAGATCTTCAACGTTTGTGAAGAACTCGACGGCAATGTGTGCGAAGATGTTTTCAAAAACGAGCACACGCGTCTTTACGAGGGAATAGAGAATTTGGGATTTTACTGACAATTTATTCACTTTTATACAGTTTTATAAAATTCGTTAACGTTACATATAATTTACATGTAGCTGAATCCGTGAAGTACATTTTCCCGATACAACGTTTTGCTCTAAATAAATAATTAATAAATTAATAAATTTTTGAAACAATGTTAGACTTATAAACATCTTATCAACAAGAAATCAGGTCCAGGCTCCATTTTAGGTTTATCGCTCGCGTAGAAGTAGCATTGCGTTGGAGGCGAACAATAAATGAGAATCTTGTTTATACCGATTCGATGTAAAAGTAAAACTACATATCTACAACTGTTCCGACTCGACTTTCTACGTTCTTATTTCCCGAACCTTGCGTTCGGTCATAAAGTAAAGCATGCTTTCTTTTCAATCATACAATTGATTCATACAATTGGTTCGCTCTCCGCTGTCTGCCTAATAATTCCTATTGCAATTAAAGGTACAGAAGAAAAAGAATCGCCCTGATTCACGGAGTTTAATGAACGGAGTTTAATCGTTGTTAAGGTGCATTTGGAATAGTTGTCCCAGATTTCGAACTTTCCTTAATCGACGTTTACAGATAAGTAATTTCAATGAACTACAATGAATAGCGTTGAATAATCATTTAGAAACGAGAATCTTAAATGCAGTGATTCGGAAAAAGAAACCATTTCTACAATTTGACTTTTTCTGTGATAATTATCCTATCTCATACAATGTTCTTCTTTGACTTATGTATCTTAATTACAAGCTACTAGATATGCAAATTAATGGAAGAGATCGATTAACCCTCTTCAGGGAAGAGAGATGCGCGTAGAGATAATGTCTACAACGAATGAAATCTGCAAACACTATGTAACAGTTCATTCACGAGATTCTAGCCCGTGGCGAGACAAGTCTGCGGCCTTGCCCCGGGCCGTTCAATCGTTTGTTGGTGAACCGGCGTGTCCGGTAAGCTTTAAATAGTTCACATGTTACGTAATGCATAACAAGAGTAATGTCATTTCTGGGAAGATCTCCTTGACAATCTCTAACGGTGATTTTCTAACTTAATTTAGATACATCTGTTTTGAAATAAAATGCTAAACGAAACTGTTATACGTAGTTCCCGCTCGCTAGATTAATGTAGAATAAAAACGTTATATACAGTTGATATTAATTGAAATAATTCAAATTATTTTTGCCAAAACATTTCGATCTTAATGAATTTTAAAATTGTCTCACAATTTATATTTTAATGCTCTCGATTTTTGCATTCGTTAATGTTTTTTATCGAAGTTGTAGAGGCGGTTATATAAAATGATACATAAAAAGTAACAGTGTGGTCAGAAATTCTTGTTTCTACAAGTTATACTTACAACATCTTCGAGATTTTTTATACGTGAGGTTACATAAAAAAATATATATATATGTAATCTATATTATATTACATATACTGGATGTGTCAGAATGATCGCCAAATATTTCATGTGCTGGTAGAACGAAATAAACAAAGTCGAAAAATCCTCTACTATTTTGCAATTTTTACAATAGTTAACAAGATATTAATTACTAAAAATCGCTGAATGTTGCGCTGAAAAAAAAGATTGGCTAAATATGGCATAGCATTTTTAATTGGCTGCTGCAACCAAAAATTGGTTGCTACAGCCAATTAAAAATATGGCTGTTATGCCATATTTTACCATCTAATTTGCTGCAGCAGCTAATTTTTTCTTTCAGTATGGTTTTCAATAACTTTTTAGTTTTTACTCAAGTACTATCAACTTTACAAAAAAACAATGAGTAATAAAAATTGTTTTTCTTCTCATAAGATTCTGAGAATTTTTTCAGAATTTTGTAGTATCGCATTTTCTTATATTGGTAAAAATAATTGCCAATATAAGAAAATGCAGTACTAAAAAGTTGATAAAAAATTCTGAAAAAATTCTTAGAGCTCTATGAGCAAAAATTAAACAATTTTTGTCTCTTCCTGTTTCTCTGTAAAGTTGATAGTAAACTTGAGGAAAAAATGATTGAAAACTAATATTCGGCGATTTTTAGTAATTAATATCTTGTTAAAAGATATTAATTACTATTTCAAAAATTGCAAAATGATACAGGATTTTTCGACTTAGTTTAGTCCGCTCTATCGGTACACGAAATATTTGGCGGTAATTCTGGGATATGGTATTAAAAAATATGTATATATATATTAGATTACATTGCCAAATAGTGTAAGAGATGACATTATCGTGTCAAGTAATGTAATATTATGAAATATAACGCTATATCAAGCAAAATTTATTATTATTAGTCAAGTGCCGGTTTTTACAGCATACAGAAAAAGTTAAAGTGCTTATTGAAGTATATATAGCACATGCTTATATAATTTGTAAAAAAGGAATTAAAAACGATAAATTATGTAATTAAGCCGGCTGATTATGAACTGATCTAATTTATAAACTATACTGTAGCACTAACACTTGGACGACGGAAACGATCATCGCTGATTAGCGTCGGCTTCAGTTGGCTTGAAGTTATGCGCGACAACATAACGAAAGATAACGAGAGATAACGATGTTTTCTGAATAATATTTTTCCAAATAAATCGCGAGAAAGTGATACTAATAATCTGGACTGGTTATGCAAACTATTGGTGAAAATGTCGTAACGTTGCGGCGTGCAATTCCGGTGCACCATAGACTTTAATTTCGTAAGCGTTGGATTTATCCCATCGCTCACACTTCAAATCGTGGGACGTTAATGGTATATTAGCAAACGATCATTTCAGTATCACTTTATGTCTATCTCTATAAGATGTATTTTTAATTGTCATAGTATAAAATATATTGCAGTTTCGAGAGAAGAATCAAATTTTTCGTGCAAAAATTAAGAAACTAGTCGCTTTGAAAGATATTTATATTAATATTTATATTAATATTAATATTTACTTCTTTTCAGTGTTTTTCTTATTAATTTTTAATGTGGTTTTAATTTATTTGGATATCATCTTTGTTCGGTTTCTTTATAAATCTTTTACATTTTTAACTTTAAATATATATATAACACAAAAATAAAAATTAAGATTCCTTTAATTCAAAATATAATACAATAACTATAAAAATTTAAGGCAATAGGAATCTGCGCTATAATAATGTTAACATCTTTTATTTTTATATATTTATATCAATTGCTAGCGCACGAAGTACAGCGCAGATTCCTATTGCTTTTTTGTATAATTATTGTATTATATATATATATATTTGATAATTGAGTTTTAAAATTGAATAAAGTTTGCGCGGAATTAAGTAAAGAATAAAATGTTTCACTTATGTGTGTTTTGTACGTTAGATTTAAAATTAAAATTAAATCGTAAATACGTACTATGGTCTCCCACAGATAAACACATACGCCTATGTTGATTTAGGTTTATTACAGGCGTAGTCAGAACGGATTTAGAGCGCGCGAATGGCATGCAGAAAGCTACAATTGTGTCACTCCCTTCGCGATTTCATAAGTGGTTACCGGATTTATATGTGTGTGTATATATGTGTGTGTCTATAGAATAAAAATCTTGGCATAACGTGATCAAAGCATGTAATTTTCTGCTCCCTTTTATTAATTTTCTTTGAAAGAGACCGGCAAATCTTTTTAAAAGTGGAACAAACGATTCTGTTGCAAGAAATTTTAATCGATCTTTAATATAGTTAAGAATCTGCTGTGATCATGACACCGACTACTGTACCTTCTGATAGCTTGTTATTTCAAATATTCTATTTTGAACTTTACGAGGTTTATAGGTAATTAATCTCTTTACGTTATTTTTCTTTATTTCGTTATTTTAAATACAATCTTATTGTAGTTGTTCTTTATTTATTTAATAACTGCAGATGTTACTGTAGCATTTGTTTCATTTTGTAAAGTTTGTTACTTTTCTCTTTTCTCTAATTAGCAATAATAATTGATATTATTAATAATTATTGAATGAGAAAAATTACATATACATATGATTATTTGTAAATAAAGATGCAAACACTGTGTAAGTTAAAATAATATTTAAAATATTATAAGTTGATATAATATACAGGGTGTTTCGAAATTTGTGAATAAAACTACCATAGCAAAAAAAGTCCTAAAAAGCAGGTTAGAAACATGTTTGTCATTTTTTGTTTCAAATAGTAGTTTTTAAAACATAAAAGTTTACAATTGGCTAATTATAGATTACAATTAAACGGCTGTTTGTCCGTGAATCGTATCTCGATAGTGTTCATAATCGAACGAAAGCCGACTCATGGACAAACGGCCGTTTAACTGTTATCTGTAATTGGCTAGTTTTATACTTTAGAAACTACTGCTCCGAACGTTAACTGACAAATACTTTTGTAAGAACTTATTTTTTTTAGAACTTTTTTACTGTGGTATTTTGATTCGCGAATTTCAGAACATTTTGTACACACAAGCTAGATTTATTAAATTATCTATAGTAATCAGCTACATTAAAAACTTCCTAATTTTTTGAACATTTTAAACTTATTAAAATTTATAAAAATAACCAAATCTATCAACAATTTTATAAATAATTTTTATTATTATTTAAAATTATGATTTTTTTTTAAACCATCACACATACGCATATCGCTTTCCTTTTATTTTTGTCCGAGAAATTGTAGTACAGTTTTGCGTCGTACTTCGGCAACTGTCCAACCATGACAATCGAATATATCCTTTTACAGTGTTTT